CTTGCCTGGCATGCGTGCGGCCCRGGTTCGTTCCTCGGCACCACATACAAACAAAGATGTTGTATCTGCCGAAAACTGAAATAAATAAATAAATATTAAAAATTTCTCTCTCTAAAAAAAAAAAGAAAACTGGCATTACCTTACAAAGTTGATGCAATACCYAAATGTTCATCAACAGAGTAATATACCCTCTGTAAAAGTAGGTCATACACACAGAGATACTTTTTATTTGTATAAAACATACCACTTGTATAAAATTCAAAATATGAAAGGTAAATATGTTATTATAAATAAATACAATGAGCCAGGTGTGGTGGCACACACCTGTAATTCCAGTGGCTCAGAAGGCTGAGGCGGGCAGATTGCAAATTTGAGACAAGCCTCAGCAACTCAGTAAGGCCCTTACTAAGCAACTTAGTGAGACCCTGTCTCAAAATAAAAAATAAAAATGGTTAGGGATTTGGATTATTGGTTAAACATCCCTGGGTTTAATCTCTGGTACCAAAAAAGAAAAAAATATATATATATATACATATACATATATATATACACACACACAGAGTGATATGATAGAGCTGATTTATATCCGTTTGGAAAGAAAAATGGCAAATGCTACAAATCAGACTCTTTGGACCTCTCTGCAGAGCCAGTTGTTAAAAAGGGTAAGAKACTAATAAACAGGTAGGAGAGGGAGACACAGGGTTGATAGTCCTTCAACAAGGAATGTCCTAATACTGCTTTTTTTTTTTGTGCATATAAAATTATTTCATGAAAGTAAAAAACAGGAGTTAGCTAGTTGGAGGCCAGGTTCATGGTAGCTGGTGGGAGGGTTGTGAGCAGAGGTAACAGCATAGTGAATTTCAGGGAGAGCAGTTCAGGCGGTAAAAGTGCTGTGGTCCATTCTAACTAGCGTGGTACATGTAGGGTAGGTGGAGGGGGGGAGAGTAGAAAGGGACACAGAGGGCAGGTGTGCCACAGGCGGCAGTTTCACCCTGGGCAACGCAGAGTATGGTCTTGGCAGGAGAGACAAGGCAGGCAGATGGTGAGGGAGCCATAGTGGTCTTGCTAAAAGATGCAGCCAGAACACGGTCACGGCTGTGAGAAGTAAGGGCAGAGCAGGGGCCTGAAAGATGCCCAGGAGGCAGGACGGACTGGGCTTGGTGATTGGCAGGAAGGGGTGGTGTCAAACAGGGCTCGGCTGCCCTCAACGARATGAAGCTTGACACATCCTTGAAGGGTGGTGACTTCCTTCCAATGAGGGCAAAGTGAAACCGGGGAAGACTAACTACAGCGAGAGCCAGGTGAGGGAGGTTCACGCCATCTGTGATGTCCTGTTGATATGCCGGGCTAGAAATGGCACTTCAYTCTGTCATGTCCCCGTAAGCCAAGTCTACGCATGAGAAAAGCATCAAAGAAATCCCAGTTGAAGATCATATATCTGACCAGCACTCCCTGGCCTGTTGAGGTCACCAAAAACATGAAGAATCTAAGAAACTATCACATGAAGGGGAGTCATGACAACTGATGTGGTCTGGAAGTGGATTATCCCCTGGAGGTTTGTGTGTTATCAGGTTTGTTCCCAGTGTGGTGCCATTAGGGATGTGGAGTCTAGTGGGAGTTGACTGGATCATTGGGGGCACTGCTTTTGGAAGGGATTCTTGTGGGACCCTGGTTGATTGCTGTGTGAGTGAGTTGTTATAAAATGGTTAGTCCTTCCTACTCTCTGACTTCTTGTCTCATTGTGAGGTCTCTCTCTCACACATGTGCTCCCACAATGATGCCTACCATCTGTCAAGGTGGGACAATCATGGGTTCCTTGCCTGAACTGGCATCATGCTGTTTGGTTCTTTCAACCTCCAAGATTGTGAATTAAATAAACCTCTTTTCTTTATAAATAATCCAGTCTCAGGTATTTTGTTACAGCAACAGCAAATGGACTAATACAGCAACTAAATGTAATGTGGTGTCATGGACAGAATCTTGAAAGATATTAGGTTAAGAACTAGGAAACTGGGGCTGGGGATGTGGCTCAAGCGGTAGCGCAGTCGCCTGGCATGTGTGGGGCCAGGGTTCGATCCTCAGCACCACATACCAACAAAGATGTTGTGTCCGCTGAGAACTAAAAAATAAATATTAGAAAAAAAATTCTCTCTCTCTCTCTCTCTCTCTCTCTCTCTCTCTC